GTGCTTATGTTTATTTTATAAGGTATTTATTTATAAGGTACTTGAGCAACAATCTAACTCGATTCTGACGGCAATAGTTCACGGTATGCGGAAAGAGGAGCCATCGTTCCATGTTCGCCTGGCTGCCACAAATGCTTTGCTGAATTCCTTAGAGTTCACTAAGAAGAACTTTGGTATGGAGGTAGGTACTAGGATAAACGAGATTTTTCTTCCCTCAGTTTTCCCTTCCGGTCTATTCAATTTATCGATTCGATTTTCGGCTGGTTATTTGGCTGTATTATAGTGCTATTGAAGAAATCTTTCGTTGTGAACTGAACAAGATTCCATTTCAATTTAGTTCCTACTAAATTTCAGGCAGAGAGGCATATAATTATGCAAGTTGTCTGTGAAGCCACGCAGTGCACTGACACACATGTAAAAGTCGCCGCTCTGCAGTGCCTGGTTCGGATAATGTCGCTGTACTATCAGTTTATGGAGCAATATATGGGATCGGCCCTGTTCGCTGTGAGTTTTGTCTTCAATTGGCTCTAAAACTCGGCCAATTCCAGAAACTGCTGCACTAGCCTAATTATTTACTCATGTTTGAAATCACTTGATCTTGATTTTGTTCCTTGAAATGTTCAATAAGTTTTTTTTTGTTGCTAGTGGGGTACGAAGTGAAATTTCTCTTTACTTTTGGTACTGGAACTTAATCTATAGCTCTGTAATCCAGATTTCTCTACAAGCGATTAACTCGGAAGTGCCTGAAGTTGCTTTGCAAGGAATAGAGTTCTGGTCCAACGTGTGCGAGGAGGAAATCACCTTAAGTTTGGAAGCTGAAGAGGTATAAAAGTGCAATGTTCGATGTTAAAAGTGAAAAGATCTCCTGAGTTTGGTATTGTTAGGCTGCTGAAAACAATAGAGTTCCGGAACAAGTGTCGCGCCACTACGCCAAAGGAGCCGTTTCTCATATTTGTCCCTTGATGCTTGAAATTCTCACACACCAAGGTTTGTTTTTAATTGTTGACGAAATACCAAAATTCACTATAGTGGAAATGTTGCAGATGAAAATGACGACGATGATGATTGGACCCCATCGAAAGCGGCTGGTGTTTGCATTATGTTAATGGCGCAGTGTGTTGGTGAGTGTGTTGGTGATACAATTCTCGAATCTGTCATGCCATTCCTCAAGCACTTCAGCAGCACTGATTGGAAGTATAAGGTAGGATTTTGTCCAGTAATGACGTGGCCGTGTGCAGTGTATCGTCCCACAGCAGCTTGACGATTTTGTTTGTTTAGGCAAGCTTGGCGATTATGGCTTTTGGAAGCATCCTTGATGGACCGGATCCTGCAAAGTTGATGACATTAGTCGACCAAGCAATGCCTGCACTTATTGATAGCATGGCAGAGAAAAACGTAAGCGACAATCTTACTTCCCTAACTCAGGTGTATTTCGCCAGGACAGAAAGCGACTTTTTCCCGCTTCTTGTTGCAATACGAAACGTTTTTCGCTGATCACTTCGTGTCAGTGGGTGGATGTGGGGTTACCAAGGCGAAAAAAGGTTTCGCGTTGCGAAAAGCGAAAAAGTCGCTTTCTGTTCTGACGACCCACATCCCTGTCACTATATGGCCCATGTCATACTGCGAGTCCAGCTCCAGGATACGAACCTGCGAATCGAGCTGTGTACCAGCGGATCGAACGATGTACCAGCGACTCAACACTGTTTGAAAGTGGCGGGACCCAACGTTTCAAAGGAAGTCCCGCCACTTTCAAACAGTGTCGAGTCGCTGGTACATCGTTCGATCCGCTGGTACACAGCTCGATTCGCTGGTGCAAGGTTCGTATCCAGCGATTCGCTAGCGAATCACTATGCAAAGTATGGCATCGGCCTATGAGTACTAGAGTTCAGTTTTAGGCTGTGCTATATATGTAAAATTCTTCTCCATGGCTACAGAACTACAGTACTAGAGTAGTGCCATTTTATTTGAATATTATGTCTTCAGTTCTCACTTATTCTTGAATCCAAAATGCTTCCTTTCACCCTGATAGTAGCACAAGTTTATTCAGAGTCAGCAGAATCACTTCAGGTAACAATCCGAGATACCGCAGCGTGGACGATTGGTCGAGTGCTTGAGATTTGCCCGGAAATAGTCAATAAGGATGGCATGTTGGCGCGGTTGCTTCCGGCTCTTAGCCAAGGGCTTCACCAAGAACCGCGCGTGGCAGCTAATGTTTGCTGGGTTAGTGATCTTTCTGACATCCCTTTGACGATCCTTTTTATCTTCGATAGTTTCAGGCCTTGGTTGCTCTTGTAAAAACGGCATATGATATCGCTTGTGGACAAGGAACTGATAGCACTGGACAACCTGACACATACGCGCTTTCTCCTTGTTTTGAAGCTATGGTCAGCGAGTTGATCAAAACAACTGACAGGTGTGATTCTTTATAGTGGAAGATATGTTTCCAAGTAATGACGCCTTTGTTTTCAGAACTGATGGTAATCAGTCGAACTTACGACTTGCCGCATTCGAAACTTTGATGGAGCTCATTAAGAATTCACCAAAGGATTGCTATCCGGTTGTGCAGAGTACCTACGGTATTAATGTTGAAGAAGCTGGAGCAGTTGTTAAATATGGAAGCAACCACAACTTCTAACTCAGATAAGGTCTCGAATTGTTCTATTTCAAAAATCTCTTGTTTTTAAAACATTTTCTATTCTGCATTTTTTTAGAACCAGCTTATGGACCTGCAGTCGCTGCTATGTGCTACACTACAATCAGTGCTGCGTAAAATGCGTCCCGAAGATGCAGCTTTGGTTGGGGAACATGTTATGAATGGTCTTGTACAGATCATGAACCGAACCTCTAACAACAAGGGTGGTGGAAGTGTGATGGAAGAGGCGCTCCTAGCGGTTTCTGTCCTGGCAGAGAGTGAGTTTTAAATTGTGTGTTTTCACACACCTTGTCTTTTTTTTTTCTTCTTTCTGTTTTACAGCCTTATGTCCTTTTATCAGTGTGCTCTTTATTGTAAAATCGTTTTGCAGCGCTAAACAATGGCTTTATTGCTTACATTGATGCACTTAAACCCCATCTCATGAGAGCACTGGCAAATCATGAAGACCACAGGTAAATGATCACTGAAATAGCCGGAATTTGGTCCTAAGTAACGACTTTGTTAAGGTGTGTGCTGCTGCAGTGGGATTGGTGACTGATATAAGCCGAGCCATTGAAGTGAATATTGCCCCAGCTCTCGACGATATCATGAATACACTCGTTCAAAGTCTGCAGGTTTGCCTCGAAAACTTGAAGATTTTACCCAATCTAAGGATGC